CCCCCGCCCTCGCCCTTGGCCCTGACCCCGCACCCCGGCCCCCGCTCCCAGTCATTCCCGGCCCCGCACCCCGATCAGCCCCGCCCCGGCCCCGCGCCCAGGGTGACCCCGGGCTCACCAGGGGTGGGTGTAGCCCCGGGGGGCCCCCGAGGTGGGCCCAAAACTGCATTTTTGCAGTTTGGCCCAGGGGGTGCAGGCTGCCGCTGCGCACCCCCTTGTATTTTTTTTTTGGGGGGGGGCGGTCTTGAGCCGGGGTCAGGGGTGCCCAACCCCGGACCCCCGGACCCCCGCCGGGGCCCCGGGGCCGGGGCTCGACAACCCTGGTCACAACCCTCGTCGAGTACCCCCCGCCCAAGACCCTCCTCCAACTCCGTTCCTTCCTCGACCTTGCCAACTATTACCGCCCGTTCATTCGCAACTTTTCCGAGATCTCTTACCCTCTCCACGAACTCACCTGCAAGGACGAGCCCTTCAATTGGAATGATCGCCGCCAACACGCTTTCGACTTACTCAAGCAAACCATCACCACGGCCCCTGTCCTCAAGATCGCCGACCCCACTCGCCATTTCTATGTCATCACTGACGCCTTCGACTTCGCCATTGGAGCCGTACTGTCCCAACATTTCCCCGCCACACCGCCGAGACCCCTCCATCAAGGACTCGCCCACTCACCTCGAGGCTCCACCTGGCGAATATCCCATCGCCTTGGCAAGCAAGAAGCTCATTCCCACAGAGATGAATTACCCCTCCAACGAGAAGGAACTCCTCATCGTGATTCACACCCTACCTCGACAGGCAATACTTCACCATCCGCATTGACAACACCATCGTCTCCTCCATCCTCTCCAAGAAAGATATCACTCCACGCCAAGCCCGCTGGTTGGACTTCCTTGCCCAGTTCACATTCACCATTTGCCATACCCCCAACATAACCAACGACATTGCGGATGCCCTCTCTCGACGACCCGACCACAAGCCCCCTGAGAAAGTCTACGCCGCCATGACTCATATCCAACTCCTCCCATCACTCCATCGCCGATACACCCAAGGCTACCTCTCCTGCCCAAACTTCGCCACCATCTACAACAAGCTCCGCGATCTTGACCCAGTCCCCGACTACTCCCTTCACGACAACCTTCTCTACATTGATACCAAAGGCACTCGCCGACTTTGCATCCCCGACGCACATGGTCTCCGTACTCAACTCTTGGCCGAGCACCACGATGCCAAGACCGCAGGACACCTCGATTTCCAGAAAACCTTCGACACCATCTCCCGCTACTTCTACAGGTCTTCCCTGCTCGCCGACGTCAAAGCATACATTCACTCATGCCCCACGTGTCAAGCTGTCAACCCCTCGAACCGGGCCAAACCCGACAAGCTCCAATCATTGCCCATCCCAACTCAYCGGTGGCAGTCCATCTCCATGGACTTCGTGTGCGGCCTCCCCAAGACCGACCGCGGGCATGATTGCATCTACGTCATTGTCTGCCGCCTGACCAAACGTGCCCACTTCATTCCTTGCACGACTTCGCGCAGTGCCAAAGACGTCGCCACCCTCTTCTTCAATCATGTCGCACGCCATCACGGCCTCCCCGGAAACATCATCAGTGATCGTGATCCCCGCTTCCTCTCCCAATTCTGGAAACACATCTTCAAAGCATATGGAACCACGCTCAAGTCTAGCACTGCATTCCACCCCTAGACCGATGGACAAACCGAGAAGATCAACGATACTCTCCAAAGAATCCTGCGGAAGTATTGCCATCCACACCAACACGACTGGGATCAGTTGCTCACAGCCACCGAGATTGCCTATAACAACGTCATCTGCCCTTCCACTGGCATGTCCCCGTTCTACCTCGACCTTGGCTACCATCCTCGCCCTGCTTCCCTCGCAGCTCAACCCCTCCACACCCTGCCCTTCCCTCAATGAATGGGTAGCAACAATGAATCGACTCCTCAAAGAAGCAGTCGAAGCCCTTGATAGAACACAAGAACAACAAGCAAAAAAGATTAACAAACACAGACGAGACTTGCAATTCAAAGTCGGGGACAAAGTCTGGCTTCCGCCAAACGCTTTGAACCCAAACATGGATTGTCAAAGAAACTCTTGAACAAATGGCTCGAACCCTTCCCCATCATTGAAAACACCTTCGACGTCAACTACAAACTCCAACTCCCCCCTGACATGAGTCGTGTCCACCCTGTCGTCCACATAGAATACTTGACCAACTTTACCCCCGACCTCCACCAATCATGCTTCCCACAGGCCCGGAATTTGTAGTAGAATCCATCATAGGACGACGAACTACACAAGTATCAGACCATCCGGAACCTATCAAAGAATACAAAGTCAAATGGACCGGATACCCCGATGATGAATCTACATGGGAACCTCTCTCTAATCTCAAGAACGCTATGAAACTTGTTCGCGCCTATGATCGCACTCACCCTATATCCTAGATACATCCCCAACCTTAAACCCCTGCATAAACCCCGCCTTGATCCCGCCAAAACTCCGCATTCCTGCCCTACACACACCCCTGCCCCCAGCAAAGCCCTTGCCCCTTGACCTCCCTCTGTCTGATCCGCTCTTGCCTCCGTCTCACCCCCGTCTCCCATCTGTCCTCCGCCACATCCTTGTCTCTCTTGTCCAAGTTCCCTATGTGGCCCCCGCGTCGCCGGCGATAATGGATCTAATGGCAAGCGCACGAGGACGATGGCATGCTGCAACTCAGTACGAGGAGATAAGACAGTTGGTTGGCCACCATGCTATCCCCTTTGGCCGACACCTTGGACTCGCAGACTTCTGGAGCAGCACCTCTGACAGGGAAATCAAGATCAGTCTGCGACCTGCTATCCGGATCAGACCTCAGCACCAGATCCGTGTACCGGACGCATCCTGCTACTGGGACATTCAAGCTGAAGCTCTGGCCGTCCACATCACAGACCTGCTGAAGACTGCTTTCTCACCGACACTTCTGCGACACCTTTCAAGACCTGTTCTCAAGACATCTACATGGACTGCTACACAAAATTTTCAACCCGTACCACTAAATCCCCGACCCTCAGCGACCCCGCCCCTTACATCGCAAGCCAAATTTCCTTTTTTTTTTTAAGGACCACATAACCTGTTTTGCCCTGAACCTCCCAGTTCATCAGTAGAATTACCTTGTTTCCCCGTTGTTTCCAACGCCTCGTTCATTAGTAGGATTACCCTGTTCCCTGTGCTTCCCAACCCCCTTAGCACATCAGTAGAACTACCCCGATTCCTGCAAAACCCCTTAGCTCGTTGATAGGATTACCCTATTCCCCGTGCTTCCCAGCCCGCTTAGCACATCAGTAGAAATACACTGCAAAACCCCTTAGTTCGTTGATAGGATAACTATGTTCCCTCTTACTCCCCGACCCAGGCCACCCACATTATACCCCTCTTCCTTTTGACATGTTGACTAGTGATCGGCCCCGTCACGTCCTTCCCAGACTTCAGCATTGTTTCATGGCTTTTGGCAGCCGGGACGCTGCCTTTTAGAGGGAGGGGATAGTGTTACGGACTCAGCCAGGGCTCGATCCCTGGTCCGCGGGGTACCACCCGCCAGCCTGCTATTTTATTCATTTTTATTTTTATTTTTTGATTTCCTGCTCTTCGGTTTCTGACTGTTGGCGCCCTCTGCAGTAGGCGCCCATTTTCAAATCCCTCCTTTGGCACTTTAGAATTTCGACACTTGGCGCCAACCGGCATTCTGACGCTTAGGCTCAGACCTGCGACCCTCAGTTCAGTCCTGAGGCAGGCCGCACCTCGGCCCTCCGGACTGAGCCTGATTCCGGTACTTAAGACCGGACTCGAGCCCCATTGGGGCATTCAGTCTTATGCCTCCATGCTTGTGCTTCAGTGTGACTTGCCGCGACTTTGTGTTCGGAATCCAAGATTGCAACTTTGCGGCTTCGAGACTTTGCCACGTCGTGTCTGCGTCAGTCCTGTCGAGTCGAGTCCGTGTCTGAGTCGAGTGAGTGTGTGTGTGTGCTCTCACTCTCTCTCTCTCTCTCTCTCTCTCTTCTCTCTCTCCCTCAGCCTCGCCACTCTGTCTCTGCCTCGTCACATGAACTGTGAGTCTTACTTTTAGAAGTCCTAGGGTCAGTCACATAAGTTAGCTCTAAGTCTCACGAAGAGTCAGTCAGTCTAGGCTTAGGAGTTTCTAGAAGTCCCTAGTTGGCTCTTCGGTACTGCAGATGTGACGAGGCAGAGGCAGAGCAGCGAGGTTGGGAGAGAGAGTGTTACATGCTGCGCCTGCAAAAGGCTGCACGGGCCATTTTCAGGCCCGTGACATTTTCAGCCCGAAGGCCTGAAAACAAGGGCTTGCAGGCCCTATGTCGTTTCAGCCTGAAAGCCTGAAAACAAGGGCCTACCGGCCCTGTGTCGTTTCAGCCTGAAACGGAGGGCCAGGCCTAAAACAGGGCCTTTCCGGCCCTGAGTCTTTTCAGCCTGAAACTGAGGGCCATTTTCAGGCCCTCATGAGTTCGACCTGCCCTGAAACTCAGGCACCAGACCAGGGTTTTAGCACAGGCCATTTTGGGCCTGTTTTCAAGACAACCCTTGGTTGAGCTTCAACGCCAGGGTCTGGCACGTTTCGGCATTTGCAAGAGCAGCCTCCTGGACGGGCCAGCACTATATACGACTGGCCCGCCCTGCAGGCTGCAGGTAGTTCCTAGGTCATGCCACCTATTATACATGGACAGTTAGAAGTCTTCCAATGTATGGGCCTGGGCCCAGGCATCGAAGTTCTGACCGTAGCCCTGCTGCTGCACTAGGCCATTCAACCACTTGGCTGCTGACCCCTCTAAAAAGGAGGCAGCCACTATAACTTCTTGCTCTGGCCTGGTGAGCTTGTGCCTCACATATGTGGGCACAGTTCTCACCCAGGTGTCCAGGTCCTCATCCCTTTTCCTGTCATTAGAAAAAGGTTTAGGACTCAGCAATGGGATCTTTGGCATCCACTGCACGGGCTGCATTGGCCTAGGAGATTGCTGTAGTGGCTGCATAGCCACTGAGACAGGTTGCTGTGCACTAATTGAGATGCACTGACCATGCAATGACCCAACTCTCCTCAGCTGCTCTCCGTTGTCTCCTTTCCTCGCTTGGTCTTTGACACCAAGCAAGTGCTCAGCCGACAAAGTGCCTGTCCACAAGCAATCCTTCCCTCATCCTAGTCTATGTCTCAACCTCATTGTCATCGTCATCCCAAAGCTACACATAGCATGCAATCTGAACTAGTGTCCTCGCTGGGACCTACCGCAGTGTGGCACCCAACCGCTTACTGAATAAGATTTCAATATACGGTCCAGATTTATCAGGAAGCAGTCAAGCGGTAACAACAAATAGTTTCAGACCCCTACAAACAATTCTACTTCTACTTTTGACTAGTCTGAAATAGATGTTTGCAGGAAGAATAAACAACTACTCTATCTGCAACAGTCCGTTAGCTGTTAGCAGTCCGTCACAGCCAACTAATCAAAAATAAAAATAAAACCGTTTGTTGAAATGCATGCTGAATGGAAATATTACAATAGTGAATAATCGAGCAGTTACTGGAATCTTCCCTCCCCCTGTATCCCTCTCGAGTAGTCACTTTGTGTCGATGTCCTGTAGCTCTGGTTCAGACGGCGTGTCTAAAGGTGTGCAATCCGGCCCAMCCCTTTGCCCCAAGTCTATGCTAAGCCTRCCAGCCCWGCATCTTGTTTACCYTYGCATGCAACGAGCCTCTCAAAGGGYTGGCATGCCCKGCATGACCTCTATTGCGCAGCAGCAGAACCAAGGACTTGCRGCAAAGCATGCGTGTACTAGTCCCAGCGGGTTGGCATGGTGACCGTGACCCGCGTGCTTCATCCAGGGCCCTTCAGAGGCTTCGCCCGTCTCCCACCAGCTTGCTGCCCAGGAAGAATGTCGACTCTCAAGGTTGAGCGCTCGCGACACCTCACATCGAGAGGACTCTCAAGACAAGACTCACTTCCTCACAGTAAGAAGCAATGAAGAGGGTAGATAAGGTAAGGAGCAACGTACCTCGTAGTGCTGCCCCCAACCACAAATTTCTCACCAGTAACCTGGCGTGCATTTATGATGACCAGTCGATGCCCCGGCACAACCCACAATGCAATGCAGTTCCACCTCGTCTTAAATTGCCACGTCAGCAAGCTCTCATCATCCAGCATGCATCCCTATGTCACCACATAGCCTTCCAGGCGCACCCTCTCAACTCAGGACCGCCTATACTCCAACGCACAAGCATTATCACTGCCCGCCATTTCCCAACGAAGCACCAAATAGCTATTGCGAAGGAACCAGCGGAGTGGTTCGAACCAGCTCCGATACCAAATTGCAAGGAGAATGAGAGAGAGCGAGATGACAGAATCCAAATAGCACAATCACATTGAAAGCAAGAAAGTCCCACAGTGTCCACAAAGCAGCATTGCACCAATATTACACCAATGGAGAATCGAAACACTGAAACCGAATGTCAATGAGAGCTTACTCTCGTCCCCACCRACATAYGTATCCAGGCYCTCTCTCTCCCTACTTGGCGCTCAGCGCCCAGCCTACTCCCTACACACCTACTTCCTGCCTACGAATTGACAATGCAACTGTTGACGTCAGCAGCCACCGAAGTACTTGAAGATGCAGACCATCGCCAATACCAAGTATCAGCCCTCACATCAGCATCCTCATCTCTTTCACTCTCTCCCTATCCTTGTCTTCCTCCCACATCTTCTCCCTTATGCACGAAGACCACCACCACCTCCACTGGCTGTCCAAGCCAAGCCCTGGCTATGTAGGGCTGGCTATGGCGCTGCCCTCAGCAGCGCACTGCCTTCTTCCAGCGCCCGCGCACACTGCCTGGCAACTAGCGCTGGTGCCCAGCGCACAGCCGGCGAGCGCACGCTCGAGTAGCACTACCGCATGCACTGCCTAGTGCCCGAATACCTCCACCAGTGGCGAGCTCTTTCCTTTATGGAAAGTGCTCGCCCAGTCTGCTCCCTGGCTGGGCCTCGTGTATTTCCGGTAGCTTCCAATCGGTCCAGAGTGTCTGGGCCCAGGCCCATTCCGACAGTGGCCTGGGACCGAATTGGTTGAGCCTGCCCAACCACCCAAGAGTAAACGTGAGGTTCTCCCTGCTTCGCCTGTGCTGCTGGAAGAGCCTAGAAGGCTCAGAAATCATTTATGATTCTCACGAGTATGGAGGACGTAACCAACTGGCGCATGGCAACTGTCTGGCGCCCACCAACCTTTACCAAATTTGATGAACTCAGGCCATATTGAAATTCAGGGGCTCGCCTTCACTTAGGGCGGGCTCATGGTTGCTGAAAGGGCCCTACAGGGGCATGCCAAGGAGCCAACTCGTAACAAGGCCTTGTCGAAGATCCATGCCCACATGGGGTTTACCATAGGCTCTGCTTGGGCCCCTCAACCTGGTCTCATAGGCCTATAAACAAGCATTGGCACGTATTTGCAGGTCCGCCTTCCCTTAGGGCGGGCACGACATCTTTCAGACACTGCTGACGATCTAAATCGTCGCATACTTTCCCCCTTAGCTTCGAAAGTCCCATGAGAAAGCCTTTGGTTCATCCCATCTGTTACTCAGTTCAAAGTTGTTAGCTTGTTGAGATTTTATGATGGAAGTTGAAGCCTTCTCTGTGGTTTGAACCTTGGAATGTACAACATCACAACTTCATAGGAATCAGAGCTTGTCGTTGATGTCTTCGGCTATGGTTGGGGGCAGCATGCACCGACTTCAGGCAGGTACTCAGAGTCAGGGACAGTTGTAAGACAGGGATGGTAAGATAGATAATTGGGTTATTAATGATCTGGACATCACAGGAAAGAGGACGAATCGTTTGGCGACTCGATCTATGCAGGTCATCGTCCTGCCGTTTGCAATCCACCCTGTGAAACGACTGCTAGGACACCCAAATAATCTGAATATAATATTATCAGAGATGTGAGTCTACCTTCCAAGTGCAGATTACGACACTCAGATTCATTCTCCTATATGAAGTGTGGACGGTGGACTGTTATGATCTCATATGCAAATCGAAAACCTAGTGTTGTTCCCTTGTCAGCTCCCTCTTCACTGACAGGCTCAGTTGTTAATCGATTTTCTATTATGAAAGAGTCTGTCGTTGGTCTATGTTTCAGACTCAACTTTCGACCTGCTTGTCTTCGGGATGATTTCGTGAAGACCCTTTGCAGTTGAGTATTTATAAGTCCATTCATTCTCTTCCACCTTCGTTAGAGAGAGGATCATCTCTAGTACTAACGGTTTTCAGGCGGTCTAGCAATACATTTACACGTGTCCATAAATGACTAGGTCCTCGCAATCTAAGGGATATCGACTAAGCGGTCGTACTTTCAGAACAAGTCTTGTATGTAACCATCCGGTTCTTGTCTCCTATCTGTTTCCAAATAATTTGCGATGCAAACACGAGACCAATCAAGAAAGGATTTTGACTATCATAGCCGATATCCGAAATCGCTAGCGTAGGGTCGCTGAAAATCCCTCGTTCCTGACATATGCTGCCACATCATGTTATCTTTCTAAAAAATAAGTTATTCTCAATTATTTATTATAGGATACTCCTATAAATTCATGTTATTAATTTTTATATTCTTTTTTTTTTTTTGGATCCTTGATAGGCAGTATTCTATAGGTCCATCCCACAATAGGAGGAATTGTTCCGATCTCTTGAACAACCTCTCTGGTTTCAACTCCTGACAGTAAGTAAGAAGGTTTGAATTCTATGTGACACTTATTTTCTTATTCTACAGAGGTTTG